GAGCCACTTGGCCGGCCCGGCTGGGGCACATTTTTGTTGGAACCTGCGCAGTCTGTGGAGAGGTTGCCATTGGTCCCGTCAGCTCACCACTGCAGGCCCTTTGCACAACAAGAACCCTGAGCCTCTCACAGCAGCGTGGAGGGAGTGGTGATTGACTTCATTTTATAAAAAAGGAAACAACATTGTCAGGGAAAGCAATTTGTCCAAGGACAGGAGCGTACATGGGACAGGAGTTAGGATTGAAAATGCTTTTCAGGTCGCTCCATTCTAACAGACTGCTTTCTTCCTCCTCCTGTTTGAACTTATTTCACTTCAAAATATGCAAATTATATATTTTTAGACTATACAAATAATGTGTTATACAAATAATATATTTCCGCAATCGATATAAAAAGTTTTAATAATATGGATACAGCAAAATACCCCTTGACTCCAACTCAATCCCATTCCCCGCCCAAGAAGCACTTGCTCTTATCGCCTGGCTTGTGTAATTCAAGAACGTGTTCTGTATATTTACACATGTATAAATGTACGTATAAAAATGCATGGTTTTGTTTTGTTCTTCTACAGAAATTAAGATGAAGCTGTCTGTAATAGTCTGCAACTTGCGTTTTTTCAACGGTACGCGGTCAACATTTCACATCAACACGTGATTCTTCGTCTTTCTCTTTAGTTGCCGTGTGTGTTTTTCATACAATAGACGTATAATTTGCGGTGTTGTCTCTTTTCTGTTCTGGCTGTACCCCGTGTCTGAGTGGGGCATTTGAGGGATCGGAAAATCAGCAGCCTCCTTTTTCTGGGGCTGCGCTAACCACATGAAGGTCAGCTGGAGCGGTTTCAAATTTAACCGGCAGCAGCAGCTCAGCCTTCGGCGGCTTCCCTGTGGGGAAGGCCCCTCCCTCCCTTTGAGGAGCTGAGACAACTTTGCTCAAGCTGCACAGGCTTTGGAGTCAGACTGCTGGCTTCCAGCTTCCACGCTTTTTAGATGTGTGTTTCTGAGCAAGCTATTTAACCTGCTAAACCCTAATTTCCACAACAGTAAACTAGGGGGCATAATGATGACATGTATTTTAAAGTGTGAGGATGAGGCTATATAGGAAGCACTTGGTAAATGCTTCTAAAAATGCTTTCCTAGTATCATTATTTCCTCTTAATGGCCTCATCAGTTGTGCTTCCTACCCTTCCTGGTATGTGGTCTAAGGAAGAGAAGGTTGTGGAAAGATGAGAAAACAAAAACCTTTCTTAATAAAGGGAGTTATAGTGGGAACAATGCTACGTCCACTTGCGTCACACTTTCAGTTTACTGAATGAAGACTCGTTGGATCTTCACAGCTGTCCTGTGGGGTGGGTATATGATTCATTGTTACCACTTACAGATGAGGAAACTGAGGCTCCAGGGTCAGGGTTCTGAGCAACTCCAGGCCACCCAGCAGTCGTTTGAGGGAGTCAGAATCTGAACCCAGGTCTTCTGATTCCTAATGTGAAGTCCCTGAGAGAACTGTGGTGCCAGCTGTTATTTAGAGAGACTTTTAGGACTCACACACCTGGCAGCATTAGGACAGAAACCCGATTCTCTCTCTAACATTGACATTAATTCAGTGATCCATCCATGAAACGTTTTTTAAGGCCTTTAAAAAATATGTCACACACGCCGGTGACACATAATTGAATGGATGAATGGGACAACTCAGTGCTCTATGACATAGGCAAATCCTCCAGTCTGTAAACTGAGAATGGTTTTACTTTTTTTTTAAAAAAAGGCCAGATTTTTTTTTAACTTTATTGGGGAACAGTGTGTTTTCCCCAGGACCCATCAGCTCCAAGTAAAGTTGTTGTCCTTCAATCTAGTTCAATATGGGGGGGGGAGGAGAGGGGGCGGAGGGGAGGTGTGCAGCTCACTGGCCCCTGTGGGAATAGAACCGGTAACCCTGTTGCTCAGAGCTCCAGCTCTAACCAACTGAGCCACCCGGCCGCCCCTGGTTTTTACTTTTTTAAGTGGTTGGAAAACAAATCAAAAGGTATCTTGTGACATGTGAAAGTTATGTGAAATTCAAATTTGTATCCATAAATAAAGTTTTGATGTAACACAGCCATGCGCCTTCGTTGGTTTATCTTCTATGGCTGCTTTCAATTTGTCACAGTTAAGCCTAGAATATTTACTATCTGGCCCCATATAGAAAAGTGTGCTGACTCTTGCTGTAGGCAATCCCTATCCAACTACAGACATTACCAAATGCCTACTGTAGTAGGGATCTGCCAAATTCTTTTTTTCAGTCCGTCCACTCTGGGCATCTTCAGAATGATTTTAGCGCCCCCTGCTGTACGTCTACTTGTTCTAACTGCTTTGCGTGACACAGTGAGAGAGGGATCAAGTTATTGTAGACAGGAGCGACATCTAGTGGCTGACCTAGGCATTACTTAAATTGTTTGGTTATGGTTACAGTTGAAAAAAAAGATTTGGATTGCGTTTTCGCTGAGGGTTGGGGGTTCTGTATTATTTTGAAATATCTAGAATGTTCTATAATTTGTTTCCTGACTTTTACTGATAACAGTTGTAACCTGGAGAGTGGAACACACACTTTGTTAAAAGGGAAGTTAGCCAAGTTAAAAACAAGGTAATAAAGAGATGACGTGAGGGTAGTACCTAACAGTCTTCCTAATGTAATAACAGGAAGAATTTTAAGACTTGGAAAAGAGACAACTTTGAAGAAAGACACTGGGTATCATTCAAATTATTTTAGTATCAGGAAAACTTGCTGGCGTCCTTGCCTTTCTATGGACATTAAATGAGACACAGGCAACCCCGTGGCAATCAGGCTCTTGAATCCTTGTCCCACCTGGCCTTAACTAGGCCTTGATTGACCATCTGTGAGCGTCTCATTCTCTGTGCTTCAGCTGATCCCTTGTAAATGAAGGGGGTTGGATTAGATAAACTCTTAAAGGCCCTTACCCCTCATACAGACCATAATTACGTAGGTTAGTCAGGCGCTGCTTAACGAAGGGGATGTTTTGAGGAAAGTCCGGCAATTCCGTCGTGGTGTGATCAGGGCACTTACACAACCCTAGACGGCACAGCCTACCACTGTAATTGTATGAGCTACACTTTTATACGACTGGCAGCATAGTACGTTTGTTTCCACCAGCATCTCCACAAACACGTAATTGTTTTGTGCTGGTTTCAGCCTATTAGTAACCTCAACGTTGTGGTTGGACCAACCCTTGTGGTTGATTGCAAGACGCCCCTTGGCAAAAACCATCAGGAAGCTTTGAAGGTAAGGTTTATTACCAGACCTGGAAATTACAGCACAGCTGGGGCTATGCAGCAAGTTTGAGGGTAGAGAAGAGAGCATGGGTCTGAGGTTCTGCTTTTACTGGGGACAAGGGTGGGGACCCAGGGTTTGGAAGGCTCATTCTTTTATTTTTTTAGCTGAGCCATCCTGCCACCTGCTGGCAGCTCAGTGGCAGCACAGCTCGGGCCAGGACTTGACTCGCTGTTGGCTCAGAGCTCAAACCCTTGAGCAGCTCTTAACCAACTGAGCCACTCCATGGCCCTTGGAGGGCTCATTCTTTATTGAATTTACAACATAAGAGGAGAAATTTAAAGCATGGGAAGAAATAAAAAGACCAAAAGGCCATTTATTGATCTGTGAAACAAAGGACCTTCAGAGGGGGAGAGGTGAAGGCTCCTGGCTCCTTTATCTAGTTGTGTGGCTGGCAATGTGATTGAGATAGCCATCTTTGAGATGATGACTCTGCAAAGCTCAAGTCAGACATTTCCAGTAATAAAAAGGGAAAAAACCAAAAAACCGTCAAAGCTTACCCTACAGTATGAGTTGAGCTCAGACTTTACCAGATGGCTATAACATAACTAAGCTCCATTATAATCTTATGAGACCACCATTGTTTATGTGGTCCCTTGTTGACTGAAATGTCGTTATGCAGCACGGCTATATTTGAAAAGTTTACGTGATTTTTCCCCCCCGACCTTCAGTTTAAGCAATTTGTTGAAGTCACTCAGCTGGTAAATGGCAAAAGCTGACCCTCAAACACAGGTGTTGCGGCTGCAAGGCTTTTGCTTGCTCTTGACCTGGTAACGCTAATACTGGAGCGATCAGTGCCCTAGAAGTTTTTTGTGTTGTTTTTTAGCTTTTGAGAAAGGAGAGAGGCCACCTCCTGATGACCACATATCCTGGGAAGCTCTGCTGTTTCCAGTGTTCCATTATGTACAGTTCTGTGAGTTGAACATCTTACAGCCGCAGAACTTTAAAAAGAGATCAGAAAGTGGATTGTGTTGGAATCTTAGATGAACTCTACACCTTCTTTTTCTGTATAGTATTGGCTTCTCTTTTTTTTAAAGATTTTTATTGGGGAATTGGGGGATGGGAACAGCGCTGGGGAATTGGGGGAAGGGGAACAGACAAATTGCTGTCGTTTTGTTCTTCAGTCTAGTTGTGGAGGATGTTGCTTCACTGGCCCAAGTTGGCACCATCATTGCGCTCTTCCTGGGGGAGGCAGATCAGTCGCTGGCTTCTGGACGGCTGCTCATGGCGGCTGCTGGCCGCTCATGCTGGCTGCTGGCTACACACGGTAGCCCATGGCAACCCACTGCCACAGGGGCTGCAGCCTACGCCGTCGCAGGCGACTCACTGCAGCCCAGCTCCAGGTTGAGCTGTTGTTCAGCATCTTAGCTGTGGAGGGCAGTGTCACTGGCCCTCATATGTGGGATCCGAACCGGGGCCCTCTGGTGTCCCAAGCCAGTTCTTAACCATCGCGCCACTCGGCCAGCCCTGCTACTGTTCTTTAAAGAGGGATTCAGGTCCAAGGCAAGAAAAAAGTTTTTAACAAATTTTTATTTTTATATTCAAGATAAAGCATATACACAATTGAATGTGGAAATAAATAATCTGAAATGCTTTGGAAACTTTTGCATTTCCCCCTCAAACTCAGTTTTTTGTTTTTTTTTAATTCATGAGTCTTTTTATTTGACTTTTAAAAAGTATGGTAACTATAATACCAAGAGAAAAAAAGAACCACAATTTTGTACAGAAACATACAGCCACTTCTGACTATAGGGTTTAGTCTGTGTTTTAATAGTAACCAAAAAAGCACACAAGACACAAAGACTCTTCAACAGATTTACTCAAACTGCTTCGCTCGAGAAGAAAAAGGCACAGATTTAAGGGGATGACAGTGATCATTAAGAATATAGTAAATGGAGGCTCAGCCAAAAAGTGACACTTTAAGAACTAAGTCAGGAAAAATGAACTCTTTCCAATTATCTGCCTTCATTAAAATGAATTTTTAAATTAAACTGTATAAACATATGATATAAAGTTGGTACTTAGGAAGTGTCTGTATATCTCCTCTATGTACAAATCTTTGTATACAACTTCAATGTTCCTTAGATAGTTCCTATATTCCAAGCTGAGCCAGGGCCTCCAGCTGCGTGCCCCGAGTCCTGGTGGCGCTTGCTGGCAGCTGGATGCCCCCGTGGCTTTCTGCCCGAAGAGCTGGAACGTAGGAGGGACGGGTCAGATGTAGTCATCTTCAACTGGCTCCCCATTGACGTCACAATAGTGGATAAAAACTGCCACCACTCGCTGAAACACACCCTTCTTCATCTGACGCATCTCTGAAATTTCTTCTCCTATTGTTTCCATACAGATGTCTGCAGACAGCTGCCCTTTCCTTCGAGGGGCATAGATAGTACCTTGGAAATTAGAAAGAAAAGGGGAAACAGGCATGATTGTCAGAACCATCTGGGAAGACACCTGATTAAGCCAGCCCTTGAGACATGCCTATATAATGCAATGCCATTGGTATGTGTACAGTTCAGGGAATGGGTCCCCATCAGATTAGTTATACACCATGTTTGATGCCTAAGACAACATACATGGTTAAGGGCCTGAGGTGAAAATGAACCAGAGAGGTTAAGTTCTACACATGTACATGCAGCTTCTGAAATCCATTTCCTCATAAAAATATATTTTTAATAATTTTTTATTTTTTAATTACAGTTGACATTCAATATTAGTTTCTGGTATGCAACATAGTGATTAGTCATTTATATAACTTACGGCACCATACAGTTATTACATTATTATTATATTACAATATTACTATATTCCCTATGCTTTACTTTATATCCCTGTGACTGTTCTGTAACTACCAATTTTTGATTCATAATCCCTTCCCCTTTTTCATCCACTCCTCCAACCCTCACTCCTATCTGGCAACCATCAAATGCTCTCTGTATCTATGAGTTTGTTTCTGTTGTGTTGGGTTATTTTGTTTTTCAGATTCCACATATAAGGGAAATCATATGGTATCTGTCCCTCTCTGACTTATTTCACACAGCACAATACCCTCTACATCCATCCATGTTGCTGCAGAAGGTAAGATTTCTTTCCTTTTCACGGCTGAATAATATTCCATTGCACACATGTATCACATCTTTAGATTCACCCATCGATAAACACTTAGGTTGTTTCCATATCTCGGCTATTGTAAGTAATGCTGAAATGAACATATAGATGCCTATGTCTATTAGAATTAGTGTTTTGGGTTTCTGTGGATAAATACTCAGCAGTGGGATTACTGGGTCCTTTCTCTCGTTACAGCCTTTGTTTTAAAGTTTGTTTTGTCTGGTACATGTATTGCTACTCTGGCTTTTTTTTTTCCATTTCCATTTTCATGAAATATCTTTTTCCAACCCTTTACTGTCAGTCTGTGTGTGTCTTTTGACCTGAAGTGAGTCTCTTGTAGGCAGCATATGTAAGGGTCTTGTTTTCTTATCCATTCAGCTACTTTGTCTTGACTGGAGTATTTAATCCATTTAAAGTAATTGTTGATAGATATGTAGTTGTTGCCATTTTATTCTTCTATTTTTGATCTTTTCTCTTCTTCTTCTTAAAGAAGCCCCTTTAACATTTCTTGTAATACTGCTTTGCTGGTAAGGAACTTTTTTAGCTTTTTCTTGCCTGGGAAGCTCTTTATCTGTCCTTCGATTCTAAATGATAGCTTTGCTCAGTACAGTAATCTTAGTTGTAGGTCCTTGCTTTTCATTATTTTGAATATTTCATGCCAATCTCTTCTGGCCTGCAAAGTTTCTGTTGAGAAACTTTTATAGAACTTCTATACTCTTATAGAAGCTCCCCTGTAGGTAACAAACTGCTTTTCTCTTTGTGCTTTTAAGATTCTCTCTGTCTTTAACCTTTAACCATTCTAATGTATGTCCTTATTTGTAGGCTTTGGTTCAGCTAGACTTCAGGTGATTCTCAATGATAGTTGTCCTGTAGTTTAGTTGTAATTTTCATGTCGTGGGAGGAGGCTAGCACAGCGTTTACCTACCTGCCATCTTGACCAGAAGGCCCTCATAAACTATTTTTTCAAAACATCCTACAAATGGATATTCAAGTGTGCTAACACTTAAACTATATTCAAAATATCTTTCACGTTTCTCCCCAAATATCTACACCTACATCATAAGTTGCAATACATATGCTAAAAGCTGCTTGTAAGTAGCAAAACAATAATTAGCATAACGAACCAATCTGAAACAATATAGTTGAAAATAAAGAGTAACAAAATTATAAACATGTAGGTAATAAAAAAAAGTAGGTAGGAAAATCTGTCTAAAGGAATCCTTCCCACCAACCTCCATATGTCCGTGGTAGGTCAACTGATTACTGTACAAGCGTAGAGCTTTTTTTTGTAGGGGAGAACCAAACAATAACGAAAAGCAAATGAACACATTTATACTGGAAGTGACTTAGAAGCTGCACTGCTTCTAACTCTCAAACAAGATAGAAATATCTAACACAGTAGGATATACTCAAACTAGAGACTATAAATCAAGTCAGGTCATAATTACTTTCTTCATCATCTTCAAAATCGTATCTGGCGAAGCTGTTGGGTTCTGCTGCCCGCAGTGATCTTAACCAAGGGAAGTCAGAAATCATGGAGTACGGTGCGCCATCCACAACACCTCAAAGAAGAAGACAGATTAACAGTGCTGCTGGTGTGTAAGTAACCACAGGACCAAATAGGCGGTCTTTTGTAGCAGGATGTAAAATGTGCTTTCATCCCTCATGGCCGAAAAAGCTCTGCATCGGGAGATGCAGGTTCCAATTCTAGCTCTGCCACTGCTTGGTCACGTGATCGTGGGCATTCTCTGCTTTCATTAAGCCTCAGTCTCTCTCTCTCTCTCTCTATATATATATATATATAGAGAGAGAGAGAGAGAGAGAGAGAGAGAGGGTGCCAAAAAAATGTATACATATTTTAAGAATGGAAAAAACTGCATTAAAATTATGCTGATAGTAACCACTTTGAGCACCTCTTGTAATTGCAGAAGTTAAATGTGACTTGTATTCATCTTTTGTTATTGGTATATATTGAGTATTACAATTTTATATACAGTTTTTTTCCTTTCTTAAAATGTGTAAACGTTTTTGTGGCACCCTCTGTATAACAAAAAGGCTGGGACAGGTGCCCTCAAGTCACTTCCAACTCTCCAACTATAGCACGTTTTAATTTTCTTCTACTTTTTGTGTTTCAACACTGCTTCTGATTATTTTAGAGATGGTAATGACACATGGAGGGAGAATAGGAGTCATCTGGTTGCCGCTACCCACAGATATTCAAAATACCCATTATTCTGATGACTTGTAAGGCTCCCGTTCCTGTCGTCCGTAAGACATGTCTCTCCATCTAGTTAGTTACGGCTGCTTAGCTTTCCAACCATCTGTAAATACTCACCTTCTAAAGTATAAATTTCTCTTCCCCAGGGGTACTTGGGGTATTTCTTTAAGTCTTCTTCACTTCGTTTGGCTTCAGGGAAGAATTCATACTTAATGAGCTCTCTGGAAGCAAAAAGAAAAATTAAATAAAAATTACAAAACTGGAAATAATGCTAGGTTGTGCAGTGGAAACGAACTGTCAAAACTGTCTGGCCTAGATTCTGATGAGCATCTCCAACTAAACATTAAGTACCTAACGGAAGAAGGATACGCTCAAACTAGAGTACATATCCAGTCAGGTCAAAATTACTTTCTTCGCTACCTTCAAAATCCTATTGGGTAAAGAAAGAAAGCCCCTGTCTAATCAAATGTCTTGTGTGTACAAGGTGCTATATGTATTGTTTATTTAACAAATGCACAAAAAACCCAGTTTCCTGGTGATGTAAAGCATCACAGTTTGAAGGTCTTTAATTCACCTGTTTTTCATACCCTAAGGGTAAAGGGATGAAGTCAAATGTATGTGTACAATCTGTTCCTGGAATTTTTCTTATGTCTGAAAATAAGTTACAAAAACACGTTTTTAGTTTTAAGTCCTCATTCCCTCAAGACTTTCACTTATGTTGTATTTGATATGTTTCAGTGCCTGAAAAGCCCAGTGAAATCATTTAAAAGAAAGAATCATTAGGATTTGTTTCTGGGAGCCCTTGCAACAGGATATGACTGCAATGGCCTTACTTACTGATTGATGTTTGCTATAGTGTCCATCCAGCTGCGAATGCGCACCTTGTTCCGGACGTTGGGAGGGTTACTGAACTCATGGATAATGCAGATGTGATAGGGGTAGGGCCCGCTGAACAGCTTCTGCTCCAACGTCAGTGTGTCCACCTGCGAGAGACATCATAGAGAGGGCTTTGGGAAAGGAAGAGAATGCCTTAAGACATCTATCTCTGAGAGCTTGAATAATCTTCCCCGGGGATCTGCGTTTTAAAATCTTTGGCTGATTTGAAAATCAAATAGTCACATTCAGCCCTGAACACAGCTTGCGACGCTGTGAGGCTTAGCAAACTCTTCCATCCAACAAGCTCAGTAACTGACATGTTCCTATTATACAAATGTCCATTAAATCAGAGAATCGGAACCAGGTCACAGATCCCAGGAATCCGCTTCTGGGCATATTCTTCACAGATTTAGGTGCTAAATGCATTACTGACCTGCGGCTGTATAGAACCGTCTCCCCTGTTCAAACTGGACTGCTGCCTATTCTAGCGCCTTGCCTCTTTGCCACCTGTGTTCACGTTGCTCTCTTCTCACGAATACCCTCTGCCTAGCTCGACTTAGGAAATCCACTCTACCATCTCCACGGCATTCACATCTGCCGCCTTCTCGGAAAGACCAACTGCTCAAGGGAAGGATGATGTGCTGTGTACTTTTCAGCCCCAACACATTAAGGGCACTCAGCAAACAATCTGTTTGTCGAAATTACTCTTTTGGGGCCAGGTGCAAACACTGACTACAAAGGTTTAATATTTCCTTTAAACTTTCTTTTGCAATTAAGTAGAGCCTTACATATAACGTTCACTCTTTTTATTTTGTTGTTTGAGAAATAACTGACATACATCACTATGTAAACTTAAGGCATACTAGGTGTGTTGATTTGGTTGACCAATACTGTGAAATGATTACCAGAATAGGTTCAGCTAATCTATATTCATATAGGTGCAATAAAATGTTTATTCTTATAATAATGAATAGCAGCAGCGGCTATCATGGTTGCTTACTACGTGCCAACAACTGTTCTAGCACTGCACATGTATTAATTTAACCATCACAGTAACTGTACGTTTTTATTCTTCTAATTTTACAGATGAAGAAGCTAAGATACAGAAGTTAGGTCATCTCCTCGAGGTCAGTGAACCAGGGTTTGAATCAGGCAGTCTGACACCAGTCTTTGCTCTGAACCACAGGTAACTTTTAATAAGTATGAAAACTTGCTGAATAACAACTACCCTCTGTCATAAAACTTGCTAAAACCCCACAAAAATCTAGTAGAGAAGCATTAAGGAAGATAGGCAAGGTAGTCTAGCTTGGTTCAAAGAACGCTGTAGAATGTAAAGGATCATCCCTATAGGTTGAGCAAATGAATAGAAGCCAAGTCCAAAAAGGCTGAAGACTAAGAAAAACTGTCCCTGCAATACATGTGTCACCAGGAAGGGGCGGAGCTCAGTACCTGCTGCATTGGGCGTAGGTATATGATGCGGTTTCTCTCAGGAGGCATCCGGAGTATCTGGTCTAGGACCTGATCCATGTTCAGTTTCTTGCACTGTGCATAGTCAAATCGGTTTACAATAGGCGCATTTTCTACTTTTAAATGTTTCAGTACCCTGCACCTGGTAGCTACAAAATGAAAACAATGGTAAGCTCTACAAATAACTTATGCAAAATAAGAGAGCAGTGTATAGTCTATTTGGAATCATCTTTGGAGGACTGGCCCAACTTTTACCAGCATAATATACTGCATACGTAATAAACATCCTTAACAAAGGTCATGTACTATCATAAAGTACAGCTGACAGTTATCAAAATAATCTGAAAATGTGAATTTGTCCTATTCAAAAGAAGGTGGTCACCCACATGCTAGGAGGGCTGTTAAGGCACCTTTTTCTACCTAAGAATTTACTGGTAAGGAACCCAAGTCCCACAGAATGACTTGCCCAAACATAGGAACTGCTTAGGAAATACTTACTGAAAAAAAAATAAATGATGGTTGCTATTAAATTATATAATTTTATGGGTAGTGTTCACGTCAACCTGAAATAAGTTACATATATTATCTTATATTCATCCACAGGAAATAAACAGAGCTCATTTTAATTCCTATCATGGGTTTAAAAGCAGACCCTTAAAAAAAGACCCAGAAATATTTGGATACTTTGGTCTAAACTTGTACAGCCCAATGTGGTAGGCACTTGCCACCTGTCGCTACTTAAATTTAATTAAACTAAAATGTAATGAAATGAACCATTCAGTTCCTCAGGCACTAGCCACAGTTCAAGTGCTCAGCAGTCACATGTGGCCAGCGGTTAACATATCAAACAGTGCAGATATGGAACATTTCCGCCACTGCAGAGGAGTTCTATGGAAAGTGCTGATCTGAAACATGATTCAATATTTTTCCTCTTTAAAATAGAAAACGTGGGATAATGAAGTAATTGTGAAATATTAAATACTGCAACAGTGTAACAAGTTCAGAAAAATGTCCCCTTCCTTTTTTTAAGTTTCAAATTTCAATCTGATTTAATTTTTATCATAGATTTCAACTAGTCCAACTCAAGAGAGAGAATCAGAAGGAAGACATTATAAAACTGTAGGCCGATATGCCCGATCTTTTCAACATTCCAGAAAGACATGTTCGGTACATCTGGACCCAAATGTCATTATCTTCCTGAGCAACCTGGCCCTGTAACTAACCTTGATGTGTGAACACTAAGCAAGTCTCCTGGCTCTCAGACTCATTTCCCTTCTGTGGCCAGAGAAAGGGTAAGCTCTGCTGGGGACAGCGAAGGAGGGAGAGAGAGGAGTAGGTGGCATAAGGGCTCAGTGGTTCTCAGCTGTAAAACCAGATGTGGCTCAGGTCAATTCTAATCTCATTTAGTCATCTCACTGCCATTAACTTAGTCAGATGGTGTCTAGGGACAGAGGACTAAGGACACCTCTGTCCCTAGATAAGGGACCTCTGTTGCTAGATAAGGTCCTCGGTCCCAGGGAGCTAATGATTTGGTTTAAGGGCCAAAAGGCTGGCCTGAGGCCATGTGATCCATCACTAGGTCAGAGAAGATATGGGGAGAATCATCAGAGTCAAGTGCAGAAGTGAAAACCAGTCAGCTTCTCAGAGCTCAGAGTACAGAAAGGAATGAGGCGTCAACCAGCCGAGCCTGAGGTTGAGGGTTAGATAGATTCTCAGACCCCCGGGCAGAGCACTGACAGGCTGAAGGCTCTTAGAGCTGCCTTCCGCTGGGCCGGGTGCCCCTGCTGTTATAATCTCTGAGATTTTGAAGGCCCCTGTTTTAAGAGGAAATTCCAGGAGGAGACAGTCATTTATTAGATATTTTAAGACCTCGCTAGTTGGAATGGAGCAAAGTGCCACTTCTTAAGGGTAAACTGGGGCCCTAGGTCTGATGGTTTCTAGAATTCAGGAGAAAGGTAAGTGTTTAAATCTAGTTTTTTAATTTATTTAATCCTTCCTTTTAATGAATGGCTCACCTGCCTGTATTTCTGTAAATACACCAGTGATCTAGCCAGCCTCCTTTAAATCTCAGTTTTATCTCTTCTTTCTGGGATTCTCCTAGTTTATGATAAAATGTTTGATAAGGATTTCCTAGTTTTGTTTACTATCAGTATCATAGAAGAAGTGCCAAGAAAAGAAAGCCCCTAAAGATTTTTTTGCAATACTAATACAAATTAACATTTATTAGGCTTTTATGAAGGTAAGCTCCTCTACTGGGTCTGTGTATGTATGTATGTATGTACGTATACACACACATACACATATCAATCACTGCATTCAACCTTCACAAATGCTTTACAAGGTACACATAATTATGCATACTTTACAGACTGAAAAAATAATGAACACAGAGAACACATAACTTGCCCAAGGTAAGGAAAGATTCAGGTCTTCATAATTTTACATGGATAGGTGTCAAAAATATAATTTTGAGTGAAAATGGAAAAATAAAAACATCATGTACAGGACATATTGTATTTTCCCATGTATAATGTGCATCCATGTTTTTGGCTCAAACTTTCAGGGAAAAAAAAATCTTTTGTTTTAATTTTTTAATTCAAACTTATTTATTTATATTTAGGCACTTGTTTTTTATAAAGAAATGTTAACATTTATTTATTTATTACTGCACTTTTAAACTCATGCAGAAAAGTGCGCATTATACACGGCAAAATATAATACTATGTATCTCAAATTTTCAAAGCTCACACAAAATCACACCCTACTATTTTTCAGAGATAAATGTATTCATAAGCAAATGTGTGAATGACGGACGGGCAGGGTGCAAGTTAAACACGCGAATGTAGACTGTGGGAGCCGATGGGACTGGCAATGAGGGAGAAATGGGGCGAGAAAGGAAAGTGGGACTTGGACTAATAATGTGCCCTGGATTGAGGTGAGGATTAATCACGTTAATCTAATCCAGGGCAGGTAAGCGCTTAAGGCCTGGTCACCATTTGTCCCCAAAGACATTTCCACACCAAACCTGGCCAGCGACACACAGTTAGCAAATGGCAGAGACAGGATTCAAGCTGAGGTCGATCTGGCTCCAAAGCCCATACACGTTGTTGTTCTGCCTATCAGGTCAGGAAGCTATTATCATTTGGAGGAAACTGGAGAAGACGCTATTTTAAAGGGTGGACCTAGTCTCTGTACGTGGTCCCTCACAGATACTACAGAGTAATGATGTGAGAACTACAGAACTAGGACAGAACTAGAAATCATCCAACATAATTCCTTTAAAAAAAGCACTCAGTGATGTTACTGAAGTATTTATGAGTCCTTAATTCTGTCAACTCGCTCCTGATGCTCCCGTATGCCACGGGCCTAAATACATACCATGGATGAACATCATTTTGGGACAGTCTTTTAGCACTAGATCTGTGATTCCACAGTTGGTCATAGTGACTCCAACAAGATTTTTGGATTTTAGTACTAGGACCTACGAGGAAAAAAAGTTTAAGTTAGAGATCTCTGTACTTTTTTTTTAAAGCTTACGTATTTTTTACTGGCACAAATGAGAAGCCACTGTTACCCATTTCTTTTCTTTAGGGCAAAGAAACTACGTAAAGATGGGCATTTTAGCTCCTTGATGTTATTCAGGACCTTGGCTGGACTGAAAGGTAAGAGGGATTTGTCCTTCACCTGCACGTGGTCATCCTCAATCACAGGATCACTGGTGCTGGTGGACTTATCTGCCGTCCGCCTCCGCTTCATGGCATGACGTGGTTTTGTTTTGGCAACCTCTAGAAAAAGCAAGAAGAAAATGCAAATTTTAGCCTTGCTTTCTTTCCTTCAAGAGAGTACATTCAATTGCATGTGTATAAACCCCACCAAGGCAACTCTCAAATCTATGACTGGGTTCCCCAAGGGATATAAGACCCCTATTTCATAATGACTGTTCCAAAACAAGATCACCTTTCATTATCTCAACCATCTCTACATCAAACATAACATCCCTTCTCATCCCTGGGCCATTCCAACACTCTAATTAACATTCCCAATCACTAGTCATTCCACCTGTCCTAAATACTATCGATGGGTGAAGCTCACCAATGTCCTGCTAAACAACTTTAAACTATCGACGACTGCGTCATGAATGCATGTCAATGCCTGGCATTTGGAGCCATGCTTTAGCCCCACCTCTCCTCAATTTTATTCCACACCACAGCCTAGTCATCTCCCACTGCCAAAGCCTCGCAAGCCATTCGCCATTCTAGCTCCTTGCCCAGACACCTTTCCTGACTTCACTGTTTGAAACACTAAACATCCCTGAAAAGACCATCTCAAGCGCTACCTGCTCTAACAAATCACCTGGATCCCACACATACATGGCTCTCTAATTCCCTGTATACTTGCTTTGTTTCTCCATTTAAACTAAAAGATCCTTGAAGGCAACACCACCATCTTATTTCCTTTTTGTATCAATGTCAACTACTAGCAATGAGTGAAAATGAACATTTATTGAAATGAATGGCACTCAACATTCACTGAATGAATGAATGCAGCACAGATATATAAGTGAAATGACAGTAATAGCAAATATTTACTGAGCACTTACTGTGTATCAGGCACTTTTCGAAGGGTTTCATTTGTATTAAACTAACTTAATCCCTCTAACAGCCCTTTTGAGATAGATTAATTATTCTCCTTATTTTTACAAGTTAGGAGACTCACACATAGGAAGGTAAAATACTTCCAAAAGTGTAAGTCGTAGAACCAGGAGTCAGAACCAGGAAATCTGGTGCCAGTCACTACGCTAGAAAACCTGCAATCTTTTAACTGCCAAACCCAAATTAGTAAGGCGCTAACTCATTTATTAATATTGTTGTGCAATATTACCGTTTAATTATAAAAGCAAATATGATTTTAAATACAAGTTCTAAGTTCATCTCTAAAACTTAAGAGCATACATAGTTTAAGACAAGGCAGTAGAAGTCACTGTCCTCATTTTTGATAATCATTCTGCAGCAAAGCATATACTGAATGAAATAATATTACCCTTCATGAATTAAATCCTGCCATAGTGCTCTTCCCACTTGGTAATTCTCTAACTTCAAACATGAAAGATTACTAAGAAAGATAGGGAAGCCAGATGCAAATACTGCAAATTCCCAAAGGCTTAGGATTAGATGGGAACTCTGGAGATCTAGGCCTAGCACTTCTTTACATACCAGAACCTTTCCTCCGCTATTTAAGGCTTTGTGAAACCTTACTATGCAAAACAATTGAAAGTGGCTGCTTCAGTTGAAGCTGAAAAAAGAACCCAAGCGTTTTCTACCCATCAAACTTCCTCCAAGGAACGGGAACCTAAGCAAAACCCTGGGGTTCTGGAAAAACATGAAAACCATTGATCTAGGTAACCCACTGAAGGCCTCCTCCCACAGTATTCCTGAAGGAACTTTGTGCACAATCTAATTATCTTCACTGACAGGGAATCTTTGAAAGGCAGCACATTTCACATAACAGACAAAATCCACACACTTGTTACAACAAATAATATAGGCCCTGGTTCCCTGTCCCCATATCACTAAAATGAAAACAAACACAAATTGCAGGTCTGTTTCCATTCCTTCACGATAGAGTTCTTCTATTAGCATTCTCTTTATGATCCAATTTTCAAACTTCTCACCTTGCTGGACTGCTCTCTCCCCTCCCCTTTAATCCATCAGAATATGGGGCTCAAAGTTAAATGTCCGGCTCTCCAGAGTACCCAAATTGGCGGCTTATGTTTTCTAAGAAAAGTTATAAAACTAAGTCACACTCCGTATGTCGGTAACCTTGAAAATCAAAAACTTCCCAATGTAAAAGGAAAACAGAGTTCATCTGTTTGTTATTTTCTTCTGCCTCCCTCCTTGTTTAGGGACAATTAATCTTTCTAGGGACAATTCTTAGTGAGTTCATATATCCACCGGCATCAACATACCTCAGATGATGGTTCCTACCACTTATTAAGTTCACAATTACTCGCTGAGCCCCATACCATGTAAGACACTGTGCTAGAAGCTGGGGCTACAATGGTGAGCAAGCAGACACTGTCCCTGCCCTCACGGAGCTCATAGTCTATTGGGAAGACAGACAGTAAAACACGGAATTACAACATAGGGCGGTTAACATTAGAAGATGCCACAGAAACACAGAAAAGCAGACTGGTCCAGTCTTGGGTGTCAGGGAAGGTGGTTAGTATTTATGAGAACCACACCATATTAATCTTAAATGCTATTCTTTGACGATCCAATTAGTTATTTTTGTGATATTATAAAGTATTATACAATGACGATAAAAAGAACTTACAGGTATTTTTTCCCAAAATCGGAACTCACAAGACAAATAACTATATTAGCTTCTAACATGGTTTTAACACAAGGCCATAAATTAAAAACTAATAAAAACTTCAAATGTTTTCTTTAAAGTGATTTAAAAAAAATCCATAACACTTAATCAAGTCTGTTCCTTTATCAGTTTGGATTTTTCTCCTCAAAATTTTTAAAGCAGGATGGTGAATAGATATCAAAAACATGCTAGATTAAAAATAACAAGTTAAAAGCCACCCAAATAACTTGTTCTTCTTTCTAAAAGAGATCAGGAAAATATTAAAATCAGCACTTTGACATCTTTCCAGAAAAGCTGTTGCTAAAAATACATGGACATTTGTACTGTTTAATAAATATTAGGAAATAATTTACCTACTATAGACACATTAGCTACATACATGAGAAGTCTCCTCAAATTGGAAAGTGAAATTACAAGGTAACGGATGTAATACACCTAAAAAAGTAAAAAGCACTGCATGAGATTTTTCAAAAAAATTCTAGGGAACTATTTAACCGAAGAAAAAGTTCTAGTCATGAAACAAATCAGAAGGAAATAAGAAAGGGGATAGAACACAAGGCAAAAAAGAAATCACAGCCTCCTATGGTTAATAGGAAAGATCTATGTTAAAAAGAAAAACAAAACAAAACCAACCCTCCAAAACAGTAACAACTATAAAACCTTACCAAGAGACATAAGACAGATTGGAGACAAAATAGTCTCTAAAGAGGAAGACTCAATGCTGCAAAAATGACAATAATCTTTTCAGTGGATCAATGCAATAGATTCCAAACAAAAACCAAGAAGATTTGTTTTTAGAGCTTGACAAAGTTATTATAAAATACAACTATAAAAATAAATGATAAATGTATGACTAGCCAAGGAAATTTTGACAAAGCATAATGAAAGAGGACAGGGCACTGGAACAGAATAGAATGCCCAGAGATAAACGTAAGGATATCTAAGGCACATGGCAAAACAGCACTTCAAAATAATGACATAAGAATAGATGTCAATAAATAGTATAGAGACAACTTGAAAATAAAACAAATGAAGTTAATTATCACAGGTTAAAATAAAGAATTAAAATGAAATAAACAAATAAATCAAAGAATGAGAAGAGATGAACAATTATCTGAACCTGGCATAAGGAAGGCCTTCCACAGCATAAAAATAAAGAAAAAAATTGTAAAGGCAAACACATACATCTGACCTGACAAACATGAAAAAAACCTGCAACGAAAGGTGTCACAGTGGGGAGTTTCTGTATAACCAGGGAGTTTCTGTTTAATGGGTACAGTTTCAGTTAGGGACGGTGAAAAAGTTCAGCTGGATGGTGGTGATGGTTGCATGACACTGAGAACATACTTAAAGCCACTGAACTGTACCCTTTAAAATGGCTAAAAATGGTAAATTTTAGATTATGTATAAAAATTATCATAAAACATTTAAACTTTAAGCTAGAAAAAGTATTTTCATCAGATGACAGGACTAATGTTTGCAAAACATAATAAATCATCAAATAAAACTCACAGGTTTATGCTACTATGATGATTAGCGCATACTTAAGTTCTCACATTTATCTTATGAAAGCTTATTTTTGTTAGTTTAACTCCACATGATCCAATCATATCTATTTAACATATAAAAAGTATGGAATCTGTTCTGGGGCTGATTTTGAAACTGAGGGAGACTTGCATAAAATTAAAATATATTATTATTCATTGACAGGTGCACATGACTTAAAGGCAGAAGAGAGGGCTTAAAAATAAGGTCAGATACATAAACAGAATTATGATTAAGAAATGTGCTCACCCCCATCCAACCCAATGCCATGGCATACGCATTACAATATTAATGAAATTACATACAGATTTATATATTTTGAATATATCTTCACCAAAATAATTCTCAGCTAAACTAGGTACTTACCGGCTTATGTCCTAGCAAACCTAACTGGAAGCAAAACTATACTTCAGAAAAAATTACTCAGTACTGCAGAGGCAGATACTGGGGGATACCCATATGACATGTTCCCCCAGCCCCAGCAACTTCAGGTCATCTTTTGGCTACAGTTTAAAACTTCACTAACGGTTAAGACTTCCCTAAGCGTGACATGGGAGCAGTTTATCTACTGGGACTTAAGACATCAGAATCAGCATTGTAGTTAGGGCCAATACACAGTTATATTTTTCTTAGAAACTTAACTTTCTGAGTTTTTTTCGTTCGGATATTTTACATGCCCTCCCCGCCCCCCACCACTGTTGAACATGAGCTCCAAATCTGTCTGATCACAGAACCCCAACATAGAAGTCAGTCTGCCCAACTGGCTTTATGTAAGCAAACTTATGGAATGAGTGAACGCCCTTCTCGAGTCCTGTCCTGCGGTGGCTAAGCCTGGCAGCATTGTCATACCTGACTCAGATACCAGCGGTACATGGGACAGTCTGCTCCTGGCCCTTGTTAGGGACCTCCGAGGGTAGTCTTCATTAGACTGCACGTCACAGCGCTCAGGCTGGGAGCTCCCCCTCCTGTCCTCACCTGTAGCCCCAGAGCCACTCCCATTAGTCCTCTCATCATGTGCTGGGCCTGAAGACCCCCCTTGTGGCAGAGTCCTAAAGGAAAAGGCGGATCTCGTACCATCCGGGCCATTCACAACACAGGCTCGGCTGGTTGAAGGACGTTCCTCATCAGAACACCTGCTAGTTCTCCTTTGGGGTTCCTGGGGCCTGTGACAGCAGCATCTGGGGCAGACAGAACTCTCTGCATCTCCCTCCTCCATGGCCTCAGAGTCCTCTGACCCAGCGGGGGAGCAGACACACTGCCTGGACACATCCACTTCTGGAGGGCTAGGCTCGGAAGAGCCGCCGCTGTTCACCGTCCTTACAAAGTCAGGGCTTTGAGAAGCAGGGCTGTGTGAGCTGGAGTTTCCCACTGTGCTGGCGGTGGTGCTGCTGCAGCTGGGATAAACATCCTTGTTTTTTTTCTTTTCAGGAATATCCCTAGCTGCTTTCATATCGGCTTTGATCTGCTCACTGGTGACCTGACAGCCTTTCTCACAGCTGCTTTCCTCGAGGGGAAACTGCTTCGACTGGCCCATCTGATGGGAGTTGTACCTCTTTCGAAGTGGAGTCTTGCCTTTTCCACTTACTGCTTATAGAAAAAGAAGAATGGCCCGAGGAAAAGAAAAGGTTTCAGTACAAATTCTGGACAAAAGGCAAGAGTAAATCTGGAACAGGAAACAATGTACACTAGTTTTCCTAAGGTATAATGGTGACCACATCACTCAGCTGCTCAAAAATTCTCTGCGGCTCCCTAGTGCCTCCCGGGTTCATACTTGTTCGCCCAGCCTTCAAGGTTCACCATGCTCTAACTGCACACTAACTTCCCAGTCTTGTCCAGTCTACCTGCATCCTCTGCCCCGCCCGAACGTCTCTGCCGGTCCATAGCCCTGCCTGGCTCCCTCGGGGCCTGTTCTTAGCAATCCTTCAGCCTGGGGCCTCTGTTCATCTCTTCTGCACCCCCACCCCAAACCTACTGCAGTACATCCCCTGTGATATCATTACATGTTTCTGACCTGACTCTTCAATGAGACTAGAGGTTCCCTAGAGAGATCGTGACTTACTCATCTCTGTATCCCTCACGGCACCTAACACAGGACCTGCGGCACAGTAAGGCTCCATCAATATATAAAGGAATACTTAAACAAATAAAGTTTTGTCTGGCTAACAGAAGGTCCAGTTTCTAAATTCAGAAATTGAACTTTCTGGAAAACATTAGGTTAGTCAGCTGGTCATATTACTTTTCCTAAATGTTAGTTTCCATAAAAGTGCCTTTCAACCACAATGTAAAGATATCTGAATTTCTTGAGAGGAATAAAATAAGAATTGAGTAATCAGTCAATGGTTAGTAAATTATTCCAAGTCTAAAGAACTGAGCTTTCCATACACAGAAGTATATCTATATTTCAGTTTCAGTGTGAAATGAATACTGAACATTGAAATATAGTAAGGAGTAGGGTACCCAAGGAAACATGAGTGGACAGTTTTTAGAAACCCCATCCTTTGTGGAAAGTGGCAAGCACATGGCTCTGAGAAACATAAAAGAAGGAAAGACTAGGAAGAAGTATGAACCTAAAAGTTAAGATAGTTTCTTGGTGAGGCAAATGGCAGAAGGCTGTTGGCTAAATTTAAAGGGAGATAAGGGATGGTAAGAACTCCCTCAAGCCCCAAACTAGCCACCGACATTCACTGAGCACAGCTGGACAGGTTACCCACTGGGGAATGTCTGTCTTCCCTACTCTAAATGACTAGGAGCCTTCCCTGACCCGAGGTGCAGGCCCCATGCTAATCCCTGACCCTCGTGCCACAACTTCCTAAGGCTGTGGATTCATAATCCTTGTGTCTGCTCTTCCCTGAGCCCTGATTCCACAATACTGTTGGGCTACACGTGCCCTGGACAGCACCGCCCGACTCCCCTCTCCCTTGGGCTGTTGCCTTTCTCATCTCCTGTCACATTTCGTAAGGGGATGTTAACTGCACCACACGCTGTGATAGGGACACGTTACATAAAGGCCGAGTGTGTCCGATCTCATGACTCTCACAGGTCAGAGTACGACACAATCTCTCACCTGACAATTCCCTGGACTGCACGGGCTCTCCGGTCTTCTCTTCGCGCTCAGAGTAACGCCGAGCCCCATTCTTAGGGATCCAGACTTCCTGGAGTTCTAGGCTGTCTTCCTCATCATCACTCTCTGAATCATGAACAGTAATTGGGGTTGGCTTTACCACACGCTGAAGACCACTGGGTCCTAAAACAAAAAGCACAGGCCTAACAGTTACTCTTTGCCTAAGAAAGACTCTCACTCAAAGCACTGTTTCCAGGCATCTGGGCTCACAGAGATGCTTTGGCTCTACGCAGCCTCCCTGATCGCTTGTTTCAATGGAATATATACTTGGATCAGCACGGTGAAAGCATTTTAACTCTAAAATTTGACATAAACATTAAGTATGATTAATTAGATTCAATTTAATTAGATTAATTAAATTCAAGTAGATCACATGGTGCTACCTTCACAACCTTCACTACTTGAAAAAGTCCCATAAGTCATCCTAAAAATCATAAAAATAACAGTCATAATAATCATCTAAAAAATAGCCTTTTTTCCAATTTTGCAAATGTGCAAATGAAGGCAAAGGAAATGAGGACCTCAGACCCCACGGGACCGGTGAGGGCTCTGCACGCTTTCACTGCGCACAGGTCTATCTCACTGGATGTAGTTCAGAGACGTTCTTGAAAGGCCACGTGCATGTTACAGCCCGGTTATTTATTGATATTGATGTAAAACACGTGCTATCTGCTTGGCAGTACACACTGTACACTTTCAGCTCGTATGGCCCACTTCTCTCTGGAGAGTGACTGATACTCGCTCCATCAACAAAATGTGAGCTCCAAGGCACCTTGCCTTTTTCCTGTTACACTGCCCATGCCTGGCACAGAGGAGGCACTCAGTGTTTGTTGAGTAAATGACTGCATCCGTAAGACACTTAAAACAAGGGCAGTTAAAGTGTTTTCAATTCAAAGACAAGGTAGCCTTCCAACAGACTAGGGGGGAGAGAACTTTCTGCTAATTTCAGTTCTGCTCCTTGATCCCTGGCTGAGTGGTCCTGAGCAAAACATTCAAACTTTTGAAGAAATACTAAATTTTGCTGCCTGGCAAGTGTAGGGTGCTATCAGGTAATCTTTAAGGGTTTTGGACTCTATAGCCTGCCATGAGTCACCCAACAGCAGAGTAGATCTCAGTCGATTTACTAAACCGGGTTCATCTGGTCACTGCTCCTTCTCTCTACCAAAACGAAGGGAGGACAAGCAGAATATTTTATCAG